GTATTATCAAACATCTGATGGCAATGAGTTCATGACCTGGGGGCTCAGGACCATAGTCTCAGGGGACACCATGGTCAATTGACATAACATTAGTCCATAAAGACAATGTTCTGCATTCAACTATGGTGAGTAGTATCTGTGAATTTGAAAGCTCATGAGCAGCCATGTAAGGTGCAGCTGTTGATCTCTACATGTGCAGAAGAAAGAAGAGTGATAGAATTGAAGTGATAAGAATGAAAGAGGCTTGGAATCAATTAGTCCAATAGACTAACAGAATATGTGAACATCAGTCTCCATATAACCACTACCAAATGCACATTAGAGGGTCCTGAATAGAGTGGGAGAGAATGTAGAACAAAACAAAACAATTTAATAGTTTTTTTAACACTGGGTTTACTGGTCAGAAAAGACTAGAGGAACCTGTGACTATGGCTCTTGACCACCCTTCGAGTTTGGAAAGGAATTTACCGCATGGCCCAAGTTTTAGCAAAGCAGTAAACAGGTTTATTGGAAGGGGGGAGGTAGATAGTGGACAATAACACTATTAAAGTATGCTTACCATGGAATGAATAGTCAATCATTCAAAATCAAATGGGCAACATTTTCCTAAGGAGAAAGTTGAGAGGTGATGGGAAGGTGGGTAGAATGAAACAGGAACCACAGGGAGGAGCTAGGATAACTGTTGTTAGATTCAGGGAATTGTAATCACTGAGATGAAACAAAATGTACGATTTGTTGAATGTAAAGCTGATGATCTTGTCTGTAAACCTTCACTCAATTCACAATAAAAAGTTAAAAAATAAAAATAAAAAAGAAGAAGAGGAAAATGGAAGGAATACACAGCCACTGTATCCAAAAGAAATGGTCAATGTTTAACCATTTCAAGAGATAGCATATTATCAAGAGTCAATGGTGCTAAAGGAAGAATCTAAGGTGCACTGAAGGCATTGGCAAAGAACAAGGCTCCAGAAACTGATGGAATATGTATTGAAATCTTTCAACAAACTGATACAACCCTGGAGGCATTCATGCATCTATGCCAAGATTTGGAAGACAGCTATCTGGCCAACTTATTAGAAGAAATTCATATTTGTGCTCATTCTGAAGATAGGTAACCCAATGGAATAAAGAAATAATTGAACAATATTATTAATATCACATTCAAGTAAAATTTTGCTAACGAGAATTCAAAAATGGCTGCAGCAGTACATTGACAAAGAGATACCAGAGGTTCAAGCCAGATTCAGATAAGAACATGGAAGGAGGGATATTATCTATCATAGACCTCAGATGGATCTTGACTGAAAGCAGAGAATACCAGAGAGATGTTTACCTGTGTTTTATTGCATATGCAGAAGCTTTTGACTGTGGATCATTGCAAGGTATGGACAATATTCTTGAGAATGAGTATTCTGGAACACATCATTGTGCTCATTAGGAACCTCTACATAGGCCAAGAGGTAGTGGTTCAAACAGAACAAGGGTGCACTTAATGGGTTTAAATCAAGAAAGGTGTGTGCCAGGATTGTATTCTATCATCATATTAATTCACTCTGTACACTGATCAAATAATCTGATAAACCGGATTATATAAAGAACATGGCATTAGGTCTGGAGAAGACTCATTAACAACCTGTGATATGCAGATGATACAACCGTGCTTTCTGAAAGCGAAGTGGACTTAAAATTCTCACTGATGAAGATCAAAGACCATACCTCAGTGTAAAAGCAAAAATCCTCCTCACTGGACCAATAAATAATATCATGATAAATGGAGAAAAGGTTGAACTTGTCAGACTGCATTTTGCTTGGCTCCACCATCAACACTCATGGAAGTAGCAGTCAAGAAATCAAATGTTTGATTTCTTGCATTTGGCAACTCTGCTGCTTAAGAACCTTTTTAAAGTGTTCAAGAGCAAAGACGTCAGTTTGATAACTAAAATGTGTCTGATCCAAACCATGGTATTACAATAGCCTCATATGCATGTGAAAGTTGGACAATGAATAAGGAAGACCATAGAAGAATTGATGCATTTGAGTTATGGGGTTAGAGAAGAATATTAAAAATATCATGGACTGCCAGAAGAACAAACAAATCTGTTGGAATAAGGACAGCCAGGATGCTCCTTAGAAGCCAGGATAATAAGACTTCATCTCTCATACTTTGGACATGTTATCAGGAGGGACAAGTCTCTGGAGGACATCATGCTTGGTAAAGTGGAGGATCATGGAAAAAGAGAAAGACTCCCAACAAGGTGGGCTGACACTGTGGCAGCAGCATTGGGCTCAAGCTTAGTAACTAGCAATTGTGAGGATGGCACAGGACTAGGCAGTGCTTAGCTCTGTTATGTATAATGTCACTATGAGTGGGAACTAACACAGCGGCACCTAACAACAACAATACTTATAGTTATAATCTCATTTGAGAATGGGTTTGTTTTGTTATTATGAGACAGTATAGTTTAGGGTAAGTTTTGAATCTATCTCTTGAGATGTAAAATGGACAGATTAATCAAGGAAGCAGAGATGGAGGAAGATAGATGTATGCTGCAGGAAGATCACCAAGGACCTAAGGAAAAACAGAAAGCTGGAGAAACTAGGAGCTTTCCCTAAAGCACAGAGAGAGAGAAGACCTCCCCAGATCCTATGTCCTGATTTCATTATTCTGGCCTCTCATCTGTGAGAAAATAAATTTATTTGCTAGAGCCCCCACTTGTATTTACAGTGGTGGTGGTGTGCATTGGAGTCGGTTCCGACTCAGAGCAACTCTGTACAGGGTTTCCAAGGCTGTAAATATTTACGGGAGCAGAAAGCCTCATCTTTCTCCCGCAGAACAGCTGGTAGTTTCAAACTGCTGAAGGGCTGCTAATCTCAAGATCAGCAGTTCAAAACTACCAGCTTTTCCGTGGGAGAAAGATGAGGCTTTCTGCTCCCGTAAAGATTTACAGCCTTGGAAACCCTGTACAGGGTCGCTATGAGTTGGAACTGACTCCACAGCACATAACAACAACAACACGCTACTTGTAGTTATAGCAGCACCATATAACTAAGACAAGTAACTTGCAAAAAGTGACATCTCACTCTAGACCCAGGGAGGGAGAGGGCCTATGTGCTGACAACCGAGGGACAGGCTTGCAGGGTATACACTTTGGCTGGTTGATGATGCATGGAGGGGATTGTAACCATGGCAATGAAACAATATACGATAGGATGAATGTAAAGCTAATGTTCTCCCATGTATGCTATCACATAAGTCACAATAAAACATTTTAAAAAAGAGACATCTCTTGTTAGTAGCAGGATGTTATCCAAATCCCAGCATTCTGGCTCCAAAAGTTGTGTTCATAACCTGTTTATTTCTTCTGTTTAATGGGCATGGGCTCAGAGCAAAGTTAGAGAAACAAGGTATTGTCAGCATAATGGCGGAGTTGATAGTTTGGGAAGGAATTAACAAACAGGATGATTAACAAACTCCATAAACTTTGATTAATACGGGAAATTCAGAGGTAATAGGGAAACCAAACCCATTGCCATCAGGCAATTTAGACTCATAGCAACCCTACAGAACAGAAAAGAACTACCCCATAGGGTTTCCAAGGCTTTAAGGAAATAGATGGCCTCATCTATCTTATTCAGAGCTGCAGCAGAGCATTTAACCTGGTGTGACGCTGTGGGTTAATGCACTGGACTACAAAGTAAGGTTGTACCACAAGGTTGGTGGTTCAAACTCAACAGCCGCTCCACCATATACAGGGTTGCTGTGGGTCAGAACCAACTCGTTGACACTTAAATAACCACTATGCCACCAGGGTCCCTCTAATAGAGGAAGGTGGTGGTGGTGGTGGTGGTGACTATGTGCGGTCGAGTCCATCCCAACTCATAGTGACCCTATATAGTGTTTCCGAGGCTGTATATTTTTATGGGAACAGAAAGTCTCATCTGTCTCCTGCTGATTTTGAGATTAACAGCCCGACTAGTAATCACTACACTACCAGAGCTCCTTTCAATAGGAGAAGAGTTGTTGTTGTTGTTGTTGAGTGCCATCGAGTCGGGTCCGACCCATAGCGACCCTGTACAGGGTTTCCGAGGGTGTAAATCTTTACGGGAGTAGAAAGCCTCATCTTTCTCCCGCGGAGCGGCTGGTAGTTTCGAACCGCTGACCTTAAGGATCGCAGCCCGATTCGTAACCACTACGCTACCAGAGCTCCTTAGGAGAAGAGTAGTAGTGGTTAAAAGAACAAACCATTAAATTAATTTAGTCCTAAATTCAAATAATCTTTGTGGCATTTACCTGTATTGTTGTTAAGTGCCGTCAAGTTGGTTCCGACCCATAGCGACCGAGGAGCAGCTGGTGAGCCTGAACTACCAACCTTTAAGTTCAAACGGCTTTGCAGTCTGGCGCATTAACCCACAACGCCACACCAGGACTCGATGCAAATAAACTGTTGCTGATAAATGCCATCGAGTCGGTTCCGATTTATAGCGATCCTGTAGTTTCCGAGGAGCGGCTGGTGGATTTGAGCCTAACCTTTCTAAATTAGTAACCTAACCTATCTAAATTAGAACATTGTAAGCAAGTTTTATAAATGGCAATAGTAGATAAGAAAAAAAGCTATATAAAAAGTGCACTAGAAATTAGGATAAGTGGCATTTAAATGTGCGGATTATTCGTATGTTGGTCAATAAAGTGATGGAGAGGTGGGTCCAAGAACGTTTTCAGTTCAGTTTCTCACCAGGACAACAGTTCGAGATATACTAGATTGTAGGAGGAGAACGGAATGAACCCAGAAACCAACTGCCTGCATGACCACCGCATCACTTTAGTTCTCAGTTTCACAACACCTTCGGCAAAATTTCTTGGCAAACTGTTGTAGTCTTGGAAGATTGTTACCATTCCCCAGTCCCTTGACGTCATCACCGAGCGCGGGGTCAGCGAAGGGAAGTTAGGGAGGAGATTCCCTCGCGATTGTATAAGGTCTCTTCCCATGATCCTCTCTTTCTCTTCGCCATCTTCCCTGTTTCTCGGGCGCCGCAGCCATGAAGTAAGTATGGCCCTTGAATTCCAATCTGCTTCCATCCTCGGACATAGCGCTACTCAGAGGATGGCATCTTGTGCTCTAGATACCCTCCCTAATGGGCCTTCACTTTTCGTTACAGGGTCGAACTGTGCAGTTTCAGCGGATACAAAATATACCCCGGACACGGGAGACGCTATGCCAGGACCGACGGGAAGGTAAGGGGCCGCGACGATTGCAGGCAGTTTGTTTTGTTGTAAATTGGGAAGACAGGTGTAATTCGGTCCTGGTGGGCTTATTTCCCTGTATTATCCCTGTCCCCTGAAAGAGTTAAATGAGAGGCCTTTAAAGGAGTCTCGATCCAGTGTAAGCAAGGTCGAAACTGAGCTGGGTTTTGCATAATTTTTAATAAAACATAGCTGAAGTTCTGGTGTAGCCTTGTGTAGGAGAAGCACAAGACGGAAAGTTCGGCTTGAACCACAAGGCCCGGCGGTTCAAACTCAACCAATCTCGGGAACCGATTCGATGGCGCTTAACCACCACCAAGGTATGCCGCAATTTACGGCTACCAGGTACTCATGGAATCTCAGGCCAAGAGCTGGACGCCTCCCAGAATTTTGACACTCAAACCTCACCGCGTTATGAGTTTGTTGTTAAATGCCGTCGAGTCAGTTCAGACCCATAGTGACCCTGTATAGGATTTCCGAGGAGCAACGGGTGAGCTTGAACCGCCTACCTTGAAGTTTAGGTAATCTCTATTCATTCTAGAGGAAAGACAGGACCAAGCTGAGACCATCAACCAGATGAGTAGCTCAGGCCTCTGGTTTCAATCGTACATTAATCTCTTTTAAGAATTTAAAGCTCAGCCACTTCTTATTTTGTATAGATGATTATGTAGTTACTTTGAACTTTTCGCCACAGGTTTTCCAGTTTCTTAATGCAAAATGCGAATCTGCATTCCTTTCCAAGAGGAATCCTCGGCAGATAAACTGGACTGTCCTCTACAGAAGAAAGCACAAAAAGGGGCAATCGGTAAGTAAATGCACTTTGATATTGTGGGCCTACCTTGACTTAGGCATTCTGAATATCAGTATGTGAAAGTGCTATTAAAAGGCAAACATATAAACAGTGAAGTGAAATTGATGCCATAAGACCCTATATGGGACATACAAAGAGCTCTGGTAGCGTAGTGGTTACGAATGGGGCTGCTAATTTCACAGTCAGCAGTTCGAAACTACCAGCTGTTCCGCGGGAGAAAGATGAGGTTTTTCTGCTGTAAAGGTTTACAGCCTTAGAAACCCTGTACCAGGGTTGCTTTGAGTGGGAACCCACAGCACATAACAACAACATGGGACACTGGCATCGATTAAGGTGTTTCAGTGGGTAGAAACTGGACACTGTACTATTTGTTGTGTTCTCTAACATAGACATAAGTGGAACGATGCAACGAGTATTTATTTTAATTAGCTAAGACATTTTTGCACATTGCTGGCTAAACAATTCTTCAAATAAAATTAATTTTTCCTGGACTTAGAGGTGAACTGCAAGACTTTTTGCTTCAATAAGCATTATAATGTAAGCTTCTAGTATAGCATCTGAAGGCAATATTTGAATTGAATGCTAATGTTTCTAACAGCACTATTTCTGTCATAAATCATTTTCTTGAGTATTTCTCACAGTGGTGTCTTTTGGGTGCTGAAATGGGTGAGTTGGAGTTTGATGTGTTTTCTATAGGCAAATTACTGGATGTAGTTGTGGGGGGTTTTTTTTGTTTTTTTTTTAGGAGTTTTAAGGTGCTATCCAGTTAATAGAGTCCTGGTGTGGTGATATAAAGGAGCTCTGGTAAAATGTTGTTGTGTGTCGTGGAGTCGGTTCTGACTCATAGCGACCCTGCACAGGGTTTTGGAGGCTATAAATCTTTACGGGAACAGAAAGCCTCATCTTTCTTCCACGGAACAGCTGGTAGTTTCCAACTGCTGACCTTGCGGCTGGAAGTCCGATTTGTAACCACTACACTACCAGAGCTCCTACAAACCAGGCTGCGAACCGCAAGGTCAGCAGTTCGAAACTACCAGCTGTTCCGTGGGAGAAAGATGGGGTTTTCTGCTCCCGTAAAGTTTTACAGCCTCCAAAACCCTGTACAGGGTCAGTATGAGTCAGAACCGACTCCATGGCACAACAACAATGGTGATATAAGATAAGCATTTGACCACAAGGTTGATTTCCACTTCAAGGTTGGTGCTTCAAACTTACTGTCTGCTCCTTAGAAACCATATACAATGAATGAGGGAGCCCTGGTGGTACAGTGGTAAACAGCATTGGACTCTTACCCAAAAGGTCAGTGGTTCAAACCCACCAGTTGAAGATTTAACATTTACAATCCTGGAAACCCTTTGGAATGGTTCTACTCTGCCTATAGGGTCACCATGAGTCTGGATCAACTGGACAGCAGTTTTTATCCAGTTAATGAAATAACTAATCATCTATCTTACAGTTTAACTCTTGTCTTTTAATAAAGTTGTTGTTGGTGTGTGCCGTGGAGTCGGGTCCGACTCATAGAGACCCTGTACAGGGTTTCCGAGGCTGTAAATCTTTACGGGAGCAGAAAGCCTCATCTTTCTCCCGCAGAACAGCTGGTAGTTTCAAACTGCTGACCTTGCAGCTCGCAGCCTGATTGGTAACCACTACGCTACCAGTAATAAAATGTAAATTTGTAATAGGTGGTTTAACCAGTTTTAAAGTAGAAAACTAGCTTGCATATTTAATGTTGTCTATGAATCTTTTTAAGGACTTCTGGCATAGTGCTGTAGGATCAGCACTGGACTGTAAACCACAAGGTTGGCAGCTGAAACCCACCAGCTGCTCCTAGGAAACCCTATATGGGGTTGATATAAATTGGAACTGACTAGATGACACTTCACAACAACACACATCTTAAAAAGACTCAATTTCCCATCTTCTGGTTCTTGAAGGCAACTCATGTGAGCCCTACTTTTTGTTCTGTAGGAAGAAATTCAAAAGAAAAGAACCCGCCGTGCAGTCAAATTCCAGAGGGCCATCACTGGTGCATCTCTTGCTGATATAATGGCCAAGAGAAACCAGAAGCCTGAAGTTAGAAAGGCTCAACGAGAACAGGCCATAAGGTGAGAAGGAATATTTTTCATGAGCATTTTGGGTATTGGATGACTTTAAGTTGCACTGTTTTGGTTCATAGGAATAGGCACCTGTATTATTTTGATACTTTAATCTATAAACAGCTTGTCTATCATAAATTCCTGACATATCCACTCCTCCCGTATCAACATTGTTTATAAGTTCCAAAGACTGGATCATAGTGATAATTGGCATTGTACAAAATGGGGGATAACTCCATCATTACATAACTGCCAAAATACTTAAGATCATGGCCCAACCAAGTTAACACATAACCTTAGACATTGTGTCCAGATTTACTCACTCTTATGCATTAATGCCAGGCATACATCATTAATGCATAAATAGTTTACTATTATAAATTTGAAATGTCAGACAAGATGGTTAGTGAAGAAGAGTAGCTGTAACACAAAATTGTATAATACAATCTAATTAATGGTTTGTATATTGAAATACCACAAGGTCAGCAGTTCAAAACTACCAGCTGCTCCGTGGGAGAAAGATGAGGCTTTCTGCTCCCGTAAAGATTTATAGCCTCGGAAACCCTGTACAGGGTTGCTATGGGTCGGAACCAACTCGATGGCACTTAACAATATTGAAAATACTGTATGCAATATTGACACTGATGTATATTTTATGTTATATTTTTGAGCTGAACTGCTGGCCAGTGAAATGCATTGACAAATCTTTTAAAGTTACCTATAAATAGAAGATTGGAAAAGAATGTGTTTTGCTTTCCCAGAACTCTGTTATTTTCATTGTCAAGTGCCCTGGAGTCAGATTTGACTCTCAAAACTCTGAGGCTTTAAATATTTTGTGGGAGCAGAAAGCCTCGTTATTTCTTCTGTGGGGTGGCTAATGGACTCAAACCACCAACCTCGTGGATTTTACTCTGTTTATCCTGTGGAGCCACTATGATCCCCCAAACGGTTTCAGCATCTAAAAATTTGAGTCCGTTCTGACCCACATTGTTACATGCTGTCAAGTCATTTCCGACCCATATTGACCTTGTATAGGGCTTCAGAGGAATGGCTGGTGAGTTTGAATCACTGACTCCGTGTACTCTGGGGGCACTGTAGATTAAGTACGTTTAACCACAAGGTTGGCAGTTCAAACCCACCAACTGTTCCTTGGGAGAAAGATAAAAGGCTTTTTGCTCCCTCAAAGGTTTATAGCCTCAGAACCTTAAAAAGTGTTAGTTACTGTGCATCAGAATCAGCTTAAAGACAGCGTTTTTGTCTTTTCTTTTATATTCTCATGAATGCTAATGTACTTTGCCTGGTTTTATTTATTTATTTTAATTTCTCAGGGCTGCCAAGGAAGCAAAAAAGGCTAAGCAAGCATCTAAAAAGACAGCAATGGCTGCTGCTAAGGTACTTGTGGAATTTTTCATAGATTTCATAAATAAAACAATAGGAAATCTTATTTTTAATCCTAATTGTGATATATTTTAAGAAATTTTGTGCAGTGCACTCATGTTGATAACTGCTTTTTGGGTTCAGGTTTCTAAAGAGATCTTTTGCCAATGATAGTTGTTGAGTTTGTTAGTATTTACTGTTAGATAGGAATTTGCAAAGGGAGAAAAAAGTTGACTTTCTGTTTTATATTTATAGAAAAACATACACTTTACATTATCTTTCACTCAACTTAATGTTAATAATTTTGAAAAGTATAATTTTCAAAATTAATATATAAGATCAACATGATTAATAAAGATACAGAGCTTAACCCAAATTTCAGTAGCTTCCCCCCCCTTTTTTTTTCTTTTTCTGTTCTTGAGTCCAACTTGGGTTCCCACACTGATTATGTGTCTTTGTTCCTATCTGTGACATTCTCGTAGTCTTCAGTGTTTATTATAAAGGTGAACTTTCAACATTTGTGCCTGGTTTGCATTAGGAATTAACGTTAAGAATATGGTTAATAAAGAAAGCAGTCTGGAATACTTACAGAATCTGGACAATGAAGGAAATAATAAAAGAAAAAAATTGCATGGGATTATGTCACATAAAATAATACGGTTTTGTTTTTGTGTTGTTTTTCCAGGCTCCCACAAAGGCAGCACCTAAACAAAAGATTGTGAAGCCTGTGAAAGTTTCTGCTCCCCGAGTTGGTGGAAAGCGCTAAGTTGGCAGGCTTTAAAATAAAGACTCAACTGCAATTCTAGTTCGTGTTGGCATTTTATTTACAAACAGGCATGTTGGGTCTACATGGCATGCTGGCCTACAAAGGTTAAGTTTTTTAAAAAAGAATGTTTTGTTAGAGTAATGCTTTTATCAGTTGGCGGTGTTGTCTTCTTAAAATCTCTAGGCCAAGTAGTGGGGAGTGGGATTTTTGCTAGATGTCTGTTTTACAGTCATAAGGCAAAATCTTTTCTAATAGAGGGATGTTAAATAAATGGTGTAAATAAGGTATCTACAGTAGAGGATACATTGTAGTTTTTTAATCAATGGCTATATGTGCTAGGATGGTACATAAATTGGTCTAAATTAACTAGTAAAAGGCGCAAAAAAAAAAAGTTATTGAAGGTGAGTCAGTTCTGACTCAGCAAATCCTGTATAGCAATCCTATATAGGGTTTCCAAGGCTGCATGTACTTTGTACCTGGAGCAGAAAACCTCATCTTTGTCCCATGGAGCAGTTGGTGGGCAAACGTGTAACCTTGGGGTTCACAGTAAAGTGTTTGTTAATTAAGTGCCATCTAGTCAGTTCTAACTCAGAGATACCCTGTACAGGGTTCCTGAGGAGTGGCTGGTGAGTGTGAACTGCTGACCTTAACATTTCAACTGACCATGCAGTCCAGTGTGGAAATAAGCTTAAAAGCAAACAGTGCTTCTTGAATAATGAGCTGTATTGCTAGAATAAGGTTTTGGAGTCCTAGTGTGGCACTGGACTACTAACCCTGAAGTTCAAACCCACCAAACTGCTTCTCGGAAACCCTTTAAGGGCTCACTAGAACCGATTGCACTTATAGAGTAATAGAGTAGGGTTTTGCTTTTTTACTGGCATATTGGTGTGTGCTGCAGGATAAGAACTAGACTAATGTCAAGAAAGGTGGTTCAAACTCAGTTGCTCAGAAACCCTATGTTGTTTGCTGTGAGTCAGTCTACTCCACGGCACTTTGCAATAAGTTTTTTAAGCTGGGTGTTTGACAAGAGCCACAGTTAAATTGCCAAAAAGTCTTAAGTACCTTTGCTGTTGGTTGAGATGTATGTACATAGTAATAATCATAATTTACAGACTTTGGCTTTTGCCGAAGGTGGATAGTCTTTACCAATGAACATTTGTTATAGGTTGAGTTGTGTCATGTTGCAAGGATACTATTACAGCGAACAAACCACAATCCCCTTTTGGAGTATAGACTAGAACTTGGAAAAGTAAAAACCTGTTGTGAGGCTATCAGAAGGAAAATCCACCTATTTTCTAACAATAACAAAAAAGTGGTAAAACTGTATGCTGACAAAGTTGGAAAGTTTGAGAAATCTTGGGGGGGGGCGGGGAAGGCAGTCCCATCAAGTTCTAGTTTTGGTTTTACTATATTTCTGTTGTTCTGTGGGATCATCACTGGACTGCAAACCACAAGGTCAGCAGTTCAAATCTACCAGCTGCTCCTTGGGAACTCTATACAGGGTCAGTATGAGTCAGAACCAACTCAACAGTGTTAAAGAACAATGGGGAAGTGAAAATCTGTTTGCAGAAAATTACATTCATGATCTCTAGCCTCAAGTATTCGTTTCTTAGAAGTTCAGTACACCTCCATGATTTTGCATGGTTCTCTGTTTACTTGGAGCCTACATCTCTGCTCACTTCCATTACGCTTCTATTCCTAAGGACTAAGTCCTCCTGTGGCATTGTAGGACTGCAAGGCCCATGATTTAAACACCACCCACTCCTCAGAAACCCTATACAGGTCACTGAATCAAACTTCAACAGCAAAGGAGACATCTTCTAAGAAGCTTTCTTTAAACATGCTCAGCTAGGCTACATAGATATTTTAAAGTATAGAGAGACAAACGTGTATTGAAAACCTTATATAAACTTGAAAACACACATGAACACTGGTGGTGGTGGTGTGCCATGGAGTTTGCATTCAGTGACCCTGCACAGGATTTCTGATGCTTCACAGGAGCAGAAAGCCTCATCTGCGGAAGGGCTGGTAGTTTCAAACTGCTGGAAGTTAGCAGCTGGACTCAACCACTATGCTACCATAGTTCCTTAGGACTAGGTGAAGGTAAAGCAACATGAACAGTTTTCCCTGTTACCACATTCTATCCAAAGTGATGGAGTTTTTCATTCTGTTGTTAGGTGCTGTCAAGTCACTTGCAACTCAAAATGACCCTATGCACAACAAAACAATGCCCGGTCCTGTGCCATCATCAGTCATTCTATACTTGAGCCCATTGCTGCTGCCACTGTGTCAATTCATCTTACTGGGGGGCGGGGGTCTCCCCTCTTTTTTCCTGACCCTCTACTAAGCATGATGTCCTTCTCCAGGGACTCTGGTCCCTCCAAAGTATGAGACAGTCTTGCCATCCTAGTTTGAAGGAGCATTCTGGCTGTACTACCAACACAGATTTTGTTTGTTCTAGCTGCCCACTATAATACCCTAATTCAAATGAATGGATTCTAGGATCTTCCATAATCGTCCAACTTTCACAGGTATACAAGGTTATTGAAAATACTATGGCATGGATGAGGCACGCCTTAGTCCTCAAACTAATATCCTTGCTCTTAAACATTTTTAAGAGGTCTTGTGCAGCAGATTTGCCTAATGCAACATGTTGATATTAAATTCAGGCATCATAATTGTTGCAGATAATGAAACAGTCTCTTTTGATATAAAGATACAAATAAAATCAGGCTCAGTATAAGAAAATGTCAATAATATGTTGTTATGTACTGTGGAGTGGGTTCATAGTGACCCTGTACAGGGTTTCTGAGGCTGTAAATTTTTACAGGAGCAGAAAGCCTCATCTTTTTCCCGCGGAACAGCTGGTAGTTTTGAACTGCTGACTGTGAGATTAGCAGCCTGATTTGTAACCACTACTTGCCAATAATATAGTGTGTAAGAAAATGGCAAGTATAAGGGGTAGGGAGGGCTTTTGTGCAATCACATGTAAAATGTAATTTAAGCTGTGATTGTAGCGTAGTGGTTACGAATCGGGCTGTGAGCCACAAAGTTAGCAGTTCGAAACTACCAGCTGCTCCACAGGAGACAGATGAGGCTTTCTACTCCCGTAAAGATTTGCAGCCTTGGAAACCCTATTCAGGGTTGCTATGGGTTGGAACCTACTCAAGGGCACTTAACAACAAGCAAAGCTTGGAGTTCTGGTGTGGTGCTATAGGAACACTGGACTTAAAGAAAGGTCAGTTTGAACTGCAAGGTTGGCCACTCCTCAGAAACCCTATACAGGGTCCCTGCAGGCACATAACAAAGCAAAGCTTAAAAATGGAAAATATCCATTGCCGCCTCCTTAAAAGCAATGTTTTCTGGTCTAAATGTGGGCTTTTAATAAAATACTTGTAGAATTGCCAATTCTGATTGCTGCTGAGTCCTAGGGTAGTGGTAAAAGATTGTTTTACCACCCCAGAAAGGTTTTTGTTTGTTTTAAAATCTCCATATTGGCCCAAAGGCACAGGAGTTGTTGTTGTCAGGTGCCATCGAGTTGGAACCAACTCATAGCGACCCCATGCACAGCAGAACGAAACAGTGCTCGATCCTGGGCCAACCTCACTACTGCTGCCACCCCTGA